GTTATCCGATGGGTATGGTTATGGATAATACTCGATGGTTAATTTACGGTCATGGATATGGTTAATTTTCGTGGTTATGGGGATGGATATAGTATTTCCGTTCCCAAACCGATCCTTTGCCATCCCCACACGTACCCTTCCTTTTTTGTTGGTGCTTCTTCGTCCACCTTACAACTTGGTGTTTCTTCATTTATGCTTCTTCTTTAATGTAATTTATAGGTACCGGTCCACCTTATTTCATTTGATGCTTCTTCAACATTGAATTGTTTAATCCTAATTCACTTTGTTCAGGTTTTATTGAATTACAATATGGGTTTGCAGTTCAGAGTCGATTTGGGGATTTTAAAAGTGGTGGACAGGCACAAACAAGAAGGCAGAATTTTCAAGGCTTCGGCAAATGAGGTAAGACTATCATAATTTTCCCCAGAAGAGAACCAAGATGGTGTTCCCTAGAAGATAACCAAGAAGGTAATTCAACCACGCACTATTTGTTTGATATCTTACTCCTCATTTGCTCAACTTTCTTTTGTTGTGTTTTGAACTTCATATACTTAATGTTGTGAGTTATCTCATGGACAGGCACAAACAAGAAGATAGCCTTGGCCTCTTCTAAGAGAACATAATCCACACGCACAAGAGAACCAAGTCTTCTCATAAATATGTTCTAATATACATTAGCTTTCTTTGTTATGTTAATTGGTACTTTTTATCTTTTTGTATTGTTCTTTTTTATTTCTCACTATTTTTTTTTGTTTGCATAATCTATGTATTATTTTGATAAAAAAAACTGCATATTATATGGGGTTTTATGCGATTGATATGATGTTTGATTGGTTTCTTTGTAACCAAAAATTGTTTTCCCCTGGCCCTTAATGATGGAACGAGGCCCCTTCTTTTTCGACGCAGTCTTTGAATATGGTCTGAGGTGACCGTGGTGTTCAAATTACTAAGACTCCGAGACAGCAACGATTGGGATGAAGATCATAGATGCTCAAGTATATATGTCGACAACTTGGCATTGTAAGTCTTTATAAATTCCAATTTGTATTACTGATAAACTATATATACCAAATGTGATTAGGAATTAAATTAAATATAAACTACATGGGGATAGAGAAAGCGATTTAGAGGGAGAGCCAAAATATACTTGGAGACAATAAAAACCTGCACAAATTTGTGACAAGTTGACGAGTAAATGACTCTTTGTTTTGCATTTTTTCCCTTGGTAAGCTATGTCTAAAACTTTATTCATTTTATTGTTGGATTGAAGAACAAAGATCATTGTCTTCCATCAAGCAGCTTTTTCTTAATACTGATTGCCAACTAGTTTGTAATAATAATTGGATAGTTTAATTTCTCTTAATTCAATTTTAGACGTTCTCCATAGTAAGTGTGCACACTATTTTTCTAGCTATAAATTTGTATATGATTTGCTATGTATTTTTTTTTATATATATGAAAAAGCCTTTTCTGAATGCAATATGAATTACATGGTATGTGGACAAAATTCTATGTAGGCGTAAAAGACTTTTGGCTTGCGATACTGCATAAGGATTGCTTGGCTGAGGAACTTGAAGATTCAAGACCTATTTTCGGTTCTCTTTCGTTTTGTTGGTGTTTGGAATGATTCATTTTTATTATTTTTCTTCTAAATGCCTAACAATTGGTAATCTAATTGTATCATTGCTTTATGTTAATTCAAGATTTTAGAATAATTGAGGTGGTCATCTCTAATGTTTTTATTTCATTGTCAATATCAATTAAAATATTATGTACAAATGCTTAAAATGCAATGCAATATCTATGACAAGTGATTTGGTCATACATAAATGAGTGTAGTGGAGCAGGATTTAAGCTTGGCTGCTCAAATAGTATTTCTCCAAGTTGAATGAAATTTACATTCTATTAAGAATAATAACACGTATACAATGGTGTCAGTTCTATACTTGCAGTAAAAACAATACAAGAAAAATCAAAGCAATCCCATAAGAAAAAAACTGTGAAGAAAGCTACAAATGATGCATTTTCCTTTGGATATGACTTTTTTTTTCTTCTTATTTTTTGTCAATGTATGTGCATTTAAAATAAATCTTCACAATTACGATGGAAAAAAAAACTAATGCAAAGTCGTCACAATTACATTTAACATTTATTACGATTTAATTTTGTAAACATGATAATGTCTTAAAAAGTTGTCATGTTTTTCGTTTTCACTTTGCATTTCACTTTGTGTAACATTTAAATCATTACTTTATGCAAAGTGAAAACGAAAAACTTAACGACTTTTTAGAATGTGTATAGTAATGAAAAAGTTCATCTTTGCACAATACATTTAAAATATATCTTAATAATTATAATAATAAAAACTAACTCAATATAACTTTATGGGCGCGTAGCGTCTGATCCAAAAACTGTTAACCGATGGGACTAAGAGAGGACCTTGTGCAGTGTGCGCCACTGGCCTGTCTTGTCTGTCTGATGGCCTTCATGCAGACCAAAGACATCAATCAATTCTTTTTCATTATTTTAATTACACTCTTTTCTCTCCTACTACCTCTCTCTATCTTAATTATTTACACAAAATTGCAATTGTATATGAATATATATATATATAAATATATATGCACATATATATATATGTGTGTGTATCAATGCATAATGCATAACATTACTACAGGTACGCAAATTTAAATTGCCATAATCGATGTCTCTATTGTGAGATTTCTAACCAATTATTTATTATCGTGAGGAAAAATTAAACAACAAAATACTATGTAATTGATTCAAAATAATGTTATAACTAATGACATCTTAACGTTTAATATGCAAGTAAGTTTCTCTTCGCTCAATATAAATTATGACGAATGATGATCTCCTCATTTAGGTATGAATTGGAATTTCTATTGCTTTATAATTTCTCCTTCAAAATTTAAGATGTGCTTTAATTGGACAATGGATGCATGCCTACTACGTACTAAATCACAAATATAATTATGTACATGCGATCTCTATCCTGCCTAATACTTTTGTTGGGGCCTCATTAATTTGGAGTAGGATTATCTCCCCTCATATTCTCATCTCCTATTATCTCCCCTCCTATTCTCATTCCCCTTTCTCCCCTTTTGTCACAAAATGGTTTTTGTCTTCTTCTGGCTATTAAAAAATTAACACAAGGCGTTGACATGATTTAATCGTAACCATTCAAATAAGAGAAGAGGATAAGAAATAAAGATCAGGAAGGAAGAGAATTCTACTTCTATCAATTTAAGTCCTTTTTTTGCATGTTTGGTTGCTAGAAAAGAGTACAAAGACTACATCATCTCATGTACCTCATTTTATATATGAAATCAGCATTGGTTTTGCTAGAAAAGAGTGCAAGGCTCTCTGACGTTTTTGCATTATCCTAAACGCTTCTGTATTCTATATTTTAATTCGGTCACATATATACAGTTTGTGTATAATGTTACTGTTTTGTTTCCTATAGCTCGGGAGCATCACAATTCAACTTTTACGATAGTACATGTACACTTTTTATTTATATCGCACAAGGATATCATAAGACCAATTATGGAAATTGATATAATATCTAGATGCTTTAAATTTATCTAGCTTATACATTCACATGATTTATATATGTATTAAGTGCGCATAAGTATGAGAAGTAAACAATTTTCATAAAAATAAAAATGATAAAGAAAATCTTTCCAACTAAAAAAGGGAAAGAAAACAAAATTTAATTAAACTAATTGCTTTTAAAATGATGGAAAACGCTTTTAGAGAAAATATTTTTGGATTCCAAAAGCACTTAAAGTACATTATGTAAGAAGCACCAATTATGTGCTTCTTCAAGGAAGCATTTTAAGTGCTTTTCCAAGATTTACTTGCATATTTACTAAAAATTGGTTCTAAAAATATTTTTACCAAAAACACTTTCAGTTATTTTAAAATTACATCCAAATGAGCCAAAACCTATCAAAGATTGGTTACGAACCATAAAGGTGCATTATGCAACCGGGACCAATAACGAATCTTGGGGCAACTAAAATGCCTAATACTCTTATTTGTGAAGTAAAATACTCTAAAGTCACATCCGGTTGAGTCGTAACATGAGTAATCAAAGGCAAAATAAATACTGTTTCTTTCTACCTTCTGAACACGGGGGTAAGATATACGACGACATGGTGGTTGCTCACAAATAATATCCGATCACCAAGTTCAACAACCTCCATCCATTGTGGACCACCATCAAAATCGCATTCCAGTTTGAACACTCGAAATCCTTTAGTCTTTGGGTGGCTTAGTGTAACTAAAGGCCTTTCCAAGCATGCCCTTATACCAAGGATCGGCTATTAAACACGTTTTTTATTTAGGCTTTTATGCAGAGTTTACCTTATGAAAAATTATAAATAACTTCATAGATACAGAATCTTTTGGTAGGCGAACGAAATCACAACCATTGTAATGTTCTACTCTTGATCCATCATATTCAACGAATTTGTACCAATTGGACGTCTCCACCTTCATTAGCCACAGACCGGGTCAATGAGGTCATAGTCTGAGGTGATAAGCTGCCTACGTCGTACCAAAATCGGAGGAGATAAGTTGATCTTGTCCAATCTTAGTCTTAGCTAGGGGGTGCCTACTCCTACCCCGACTCTGACCCTAAGACCATCTTCAATTTTTGGCTTAAAATTTAAAATTTTTAACCAAGAAAATTTAGGTTTTAACCCATAAACAGTATTTCTGCTCCCACCATTCTAGGCTAAAATTTTAGCCCCAAATTATTAAAAAATAAATTTACATTAATTTTTTACTTAAAGTAACTTTTTTTAAAATAAAAATTTATATAGACTATCCTAATTTAATTTTATGAACATTTTAATCTAAAAATATTTAGATTCTGACAAATACTGAAAAATCACTAACCGACACAATGAAACTCGTTAAATAATATGAAAAAAGATGAAACAAATGAAAGATTTTTTTTTTAATTATTTTAGCCGTTAGATTTAAATTTGGACAGTTAAATTTTTTTTTTTTACCGTTGCATTTCATTAAATTAGATCTTAACTGTTGGATTAAATGAATTGATAACTATAAAATTAAATAAAATATACATATATGGTGGGCCAGACCACTAATCCTGGGCTAAATTTGGCTTCCATTTGAGTTTTAGGTTTTAGACCATATTTTTACCTTGGGTTGAGTTGATTTTTTTTTGGGGGGGGGGGGGGGAATAGAAGTGGAAAGGTTGGAGAATGTCGAAATAACAAAAAAAAAGCGTCAAAAAAGGGTTTAGGATAAGTCTAGTGTCTAAGCAGCTGGTGATCCACCATCAGTAATTCTAGTACATGCGTCACATTTGTAGAGTCCAAGTTTTAGGAAGGGGATCTCGGATCACTTCCATTAAATCCACTCAATCAATGAATATGAGTCCTTAAAATTTGATTCAACGGGTAAAAACATAAAGCCCTTTTAAAAATTATAATAACTTTATCCGTTAGATCAAATTTCAAGGATCCAGATTAATTGATTTGATGGAAGGGATCCATAGAAGATCTCTTTCCCAAGTTTTACACCCATTGGCAGGGTCACTAGGACCCACCTCCTAGTGATTTTTCAGTATTTGTCAGAATCTAAATATTTTTAGGTTAAAATGTTCATAAAATTAAATTAGGATAGTCTATATAAATGTTTATTTTAAAAAAAAGTTAATTTAAGTAAAAAATTAATCTAAATTCATTTTTTAATAATCTGGGGCTAAAATTTTAGCCCAGAATGATGGGAGCAGAAATATTGTTTATGGGTTAAAACCTAAATTTTCTTGGTTAAAATTTTTTAATTTTAGGCCAAAAATTGAAGATGGTCTTAGGATCAGAGTCGGGTTAGGAGTAGGCACCCCTAGCTAAGACTAATATCGAACAAGATCAGCTTATCTCCTCCGATTTTGGCACGATGTAGGCAGCTTAACTCCTCAGACTATGACCTCATTGATCTGGTCTGTGGCTGATGCATGTGGAGACTCCAATTGGTACAAATTCGTTGAATATGATGGATCAAGAGTAGAGCATTACAATGGTTGTGATTTCCTTCACCTACCAAAAGATTTTGCATCTATGGAGTTATTTATGATTTTTCATAAAGCAGACTCTGCATAAAAGCCCAAACAAGAAACGTGTTTAATAGTCGATCCTTGGCATAAGAGCATGCTAGGAAAGGCCTTTAGTTACACTGAGTCACCCAAAGACTAAAGGATTTCGAGTGTTCAAACTGGAATTCGATTTTTCTCCATCATAACACGTGCCAACTTAAATTGAAGTTGGTATTAATCTTTGCTTAACCAAACCAATAGCATAAACAAAGATTTTTTTTATAAACCATAAACAATAGTAACCATATCGAAAGTAAAATCTAATAAACAATAGCGATTTGAGAAATTGAAATTATAGAAATATACAGAGGACGCACCTGTAGAAGTTAAACGTAGAAACACAACTTCATCAATGGTGAAGATTCGCATTGTCAGGGCACAATTCGACCCCAAAAATTTTCACACTGCTCGTTCTCTGCTTGGTCATGCTTGGAGAAGGCATGCTTGCCTCCTAGTTATCAACATATCCCTTTCTCTTGCACCATATCGTATTGAACCAAAACTAAGTAAAGCTTTAATCTGTATCACATTTAGCCAAAATCGAATTGTTAAAAAACATACTTATTCATAATTACACTTTAATTGCAGAATAATCACGGTATCATATCAATAAATGGAATTAAATTTTAATATCTTTACAAAGAAATCGAGAGACATACAAATCCTGGAATTGAGGAATGGCTGGTCATCCAAGTCGAGCCGGCGACCGGGCGAGGCAATGGAGACGGCGACCGACATATCGTTCTCTAGAGAAAGCTTCCGGCGGGCTCTGCGTCAGTGATGAGTTCTTGTGTGGGTGCCGGACAGAAGACGGTTGCGATTTCGAAGAAGAGGGGGGGCGGGGCTTTGGGGAGAGAAATGAGTAGTTTGGAGATTTCAGAGAAACCGCCGAAGGAAGCGAATGGGTGAGACTGGGTGGGTTGGTGGTAGTTAAAACCATACTTTAAATGTCTGTGGTAATATTGGATATTCTACAACGAGTCTTTTATGTCCGTGGTGAATTAATTGTGAAAAATGTGGTGTTGTTTTGTAGTGGATGGTGACAACTGACAAGGCCGATAATCATGCAGTTTCTGGGATGGTGACAACTGACAAGGCCGAGCCCTCTCTTCTCTCTTTTTCCAACCCGAAGTGCATTGATGTGAATAAAGCAGCAGAAAATAAAAACAACAAAATAGTACGTACTGAGAAGTCCTGGTTGGTCGATCAATAATGTGATTTCGTTGCACGCATGCATGTACTGCATTGATATGCCCTACCAAATCCTTAATCCCTCGTCGTATATGTTACATAGACACCATCAACTTCGTGATAACTTTAAATGAGTGCCATTACACCCCATTACTCTTACCCACCAACCTCCTCTCATAGTTTAATTGCAAAACCTACCAAGTTAAGAAATGAAAACCCTAAAACCTTCCGCTTCTCTAACACTATATAATAACACTATCACCTTTCCAATTCTAAATCATTTCATACTTCCTTGAGACTCTCATCTTTTCCCAATTCATTTTGCATCTTCACGCCTCACTCTCTCTCCCTTTTCAATTCCTCCTAACTCTAGTCCTGCAAGGATATACTTCCTTCCGAAACACAAGAGGCTTTAGCATCATTTTCCGACTATAAAAAGGCATTGTATCCCATATTTGAAATGTTGTAATTGCTTCTGTTGATCCTAGACTTTATAATTTGTAATTTTATTTTAAGATTTATGTATAAGATTTGCTAGTGTGATAAGAGACTTAAAGTTGGTGAAATAAAAAGCAGAGCACAAAAATATAAGGTCCTTATATAACCTTTTCCAACAATGCATAACATTTAAGCTAATAGGTGCTGACATGGCACTTAGTGACTTATGGTTAATACTACTATAAGTTAATAAAAAGAGTAATGCTATTGCGAGGCACGCTAAAAAGAAATGTTAATAGAGATTATATACGTGTACCACATGATATGACAAATTAATGATATGTATAATTAACATTTATATGAGATAAGTTTATTAATTGATGTGGTATGTATCCATTACTTGTCACATCATGTAATACACAAAGGTGATACAAAATGTGATTTCTTTAGCCTTTTTCTAATAAAAAACAAGTACATACTTATAATTTTGGGTGAAATAATAACCAACATGTTGATATTCCATCCAAAGCAAACAATATGTCACTAGCGTTGGAAAACTGCATGGTTCCGCCACCAAAAAATGGCAATCACAATTGTCTGTTAGGGTGGGGCTCCTATGTTCCATGCTTTGCAGATACCCAACAATAAAATCCTATGTAGTGGGGTTTATGTAGAACTATTTGACAAACACTAGATTGGTTGAAGAATATTTGTACTCATCACTTATTTATAAATATTGGATTAATTTAAATTTTGAGATCTGTGTAGTGGATGAACATAAATTTTAAAATTTAACCGTATTCAATAATAACAAATATGAACCAACATTACCATCACTTAAAAGTAATGAGCAAAAATAAACATCCAGTCGTTGAAATAATAACATAAATAAGTTAGGAAGTTGATTCTCTTCAAAAAAAAAAAAAAAAAAGGGTTTAGGGAGTTGGCTCATCGTCTCCTTTCCCACGCATTATATTACCCATGCAAATTAAAATGGAGGTGGTAGAATTTCACTAGTGGGATCATTATCTAATTAAGAATCTTAAAATTTGGAATCCAACAGCCTAATGAGAATCCCATGCATAGGGTACTCCCATTTGTTTAAGATTCCCTTCTTTTATTCTTATTCAGAGAATTTGCAAAAGGATATAATTCGAAGGGTTAATATTATTGTTTCATCCTCCTCCTATAATTCCTTTCATATTTTGATTCTTCTGGTGTTTTGCTTCTTGAATCGTTAATCGGTTGTTTCGGTGGAATTTGTTTCTCTTTAGTTATTGGGATGGTTAAGAATTTCCTTTCCACTGGATTTCAGTTTTTTGGGTTAGGCATATATGCATGCTGAAAAAATTATTGCAATGCAATGACAAGTGGTCAAATAACTGTCAAAAGTTGTTCGGTTGTCGCTTTAATGCTACTTATCATTAATATCTGTTAGATTTAATTGTTGTGATGTTGGATCATTTATTTTCAATTATCAAATGCTATACATTATTAAAGAAAAATTGTATTAAGCGAGGGAATTATAATAAGAATTTGGCCACGAAAAATTTGTGACATGTCTCCAAAACGTTACTATCAATCTTCCAACAAGTTCCGCTTACATCGAACACTCAGCCTATAAATAACAGCAGCTCACTTCCAACGCTCAACACTCGAGAAAGAGCCTCTCATTCACACCCACTGTCTGGGTTCTCACTTTCTCTCTCTACTTTCTCACTCGTCGATGACGCTCCGTCAAGCGCTTGCTAAGTGCTCATTTGGCACCACCACCATCGTTGGTTATGGCAGATCACCAAACCATCGTGTCTCCGAATGCTGCCCAAGTGAATTACCACAAGGAGTATCTGACCTCGACGGACACCCCTCGAAAAGGATTTTTCCGCCGATTCCTCCACCACCAGTCGACATCGAAGCTCCCGGAATTCTTGACCGTTCCGGTTGGGGAGAAGCTCTGGGAAAAGTTGAAAGGCATCAACATTAGCGATGATCAGCTCTACTCGACGGTCTCTGCCCTCCGCCTCCAGATCGGGACCCCACAGCCGAGCTTCCGTTCAAAATCTCGGTCCGCAACGTGAAGAAGATTCTGTGGCTTTCTCAGTTGGAGAAGCTGAGGGAGATTCAGGAAACTTCCTTTTCACGATCAGAGTTCGTTCGGATCTGCAACGAAGGATGCGAGAGCGAAGAGTAAGGTGCTGAGTTTGCGAAGATGATGGACGAGTCCGTAAACGTTATCGTTTTGGGAAACGTAGTGTTTCTCCTGCCGGAGTAGGTAACTTCTTATTCTTTCCTGCTTTTATATAGATTATGTTTCTGTTGTTGTTTGTGATATGGTAAAATTACGGAATTGACCTTTAGGTCTTGGGTTAAAGAATACCATGGGTTTTTTCGTTAAAACTCCCTTAATTAAATCATTTTATACATCAAATATTTAATAACGAAATTAATATTTACTAAATTATCATACGTCAATTGGGCGAATATATTTTTTGTACTAATAAAGATAGATATAACTGTTAACCAATGGGGAATCCTTTATCCGGTGGGTATGGTTATGGATAATACCCGATGGTTAATTTACGGTCATGGATATGGTTAATTTTCATAGTTATGAGGATGGATATAGCATTTCCGTTCCTAAACCGATCCTTTGCCATCCCACACGTACCCTTCTTTTTTTTCTTGGTGCTTCTTCGTCCACCTTACAATTTGGTGTTTCTTCATTTATGCTTCTTCTCTAATCTAATTTATAGGTACCGGTCCACCTTATTTCATTTGATGCTTCTTCAACATTGAATTGTTTAATCCTAATTCACTTTGTTCAGGTTTTATTGAATTACAATATGGGTTTGCAATTCAGAGTCGATTTGAGGATTTTAAAGTGGTGGACAGGCACAAACAAGAAGGCAGAATTTTCAAGGCTTCGGCAAATCAGGTAAGACTATCATAATTTTCCCTAAGAGAACCAAGATGGTGTTCCCTAGAAGATAACCAAGAAGGTAATTCAACCACGCACTGTTTGTTTGATCTCTTACTCACCATGTGCCCAGCTTTCTTTTGTTGTGTTTTTGTTTTTTAATTTTAAACTTCATATACTTAATGCTGTGAGTTATCTCATGGACAGGAACAAACAAGAAGATAGCCTTGGCCTCTTCTAAGAGAACGTAATCCACACGCACAAGAGAACCAAGTCTTCTCATAAATATGTTCTTCTATACATTAGCTTTCTTTGTTCTGTTAATTGGTACTTTTTATCTATTTGTATTGTTCTTTTTTATTTCTCACTATTTTTTTTGTTTGTTTGCATAATCGGCGTATTATTTTGATAAAAAAAAAAAAAAAAACTGCATATTATATGGGGTTTTATGCGGTTGATAAGATGTTTGATTGGTTTCTTTGTAACCAAAAATTGTTTTCCCCTGGCCCTTTATGATGGAACGCGGCTTCTTCTTTTTCGACGCGGTCTTCGAATATGGTCTGAGGTGATCGTGGTGTGCAAATTACTAAGACTCTGAGACAGCGACAATTGGGATGAAGATCATAGATGCTCAAGTATATATGTCGACAACTTGGCATTGTAAGTCTTTATAAATTCCAATTTGTATTACTGATAAACTATATATACCAAATGTTATTAGGAATTAAATTAAATATACACTACATGGGGATAGAGAAAGCGATCTAGAGGGAGAGCCAAAATATACTTGGAGACAATAAAAAACTACACAAATTTGTGGCAAGTTGACGAGTAAATGATTCTTTGTTTTGCATTTTTTCCCTTGGTAAGCTATGTCTAAAACTTTATTCATTTTATTGTTGGATTGAAGAATAAAGATCATTGTCTTCTGTCAAGCAACTTTTTCTTAATACTGATTGCCAACCAGTTTGTAATAATAATTGGATAGTTTAATTTCTCTTAGTTCAATTTTAGATGTTCTCCATAGTAAGTGTGCACACTATTTTTCTAGCTATAAATTTGTATATGATTTGCTATGTATTTTTTTTTATATGAAAAAAGCCTTTTCTGAATGCAATATGAATTACATGGTATGTGGACAAAATTCTATGTAGGTGTAAAAGACTTTTGGCTTGCGATACTGACTAAGGATTGCTTGGCTGAGGAACTTGAAGATTCAAGACCATTTTTCGGTTCTCTTTTCGATTTTGTTGGTGTTTGGAATGATTCATTTTTATTATTTTTCTTCTAAATGTCTAACAATCGGTAATCTAATTGTATCATTGCTTTATGTTAATTCTAGATTTTAGAATAATTAAGGTAGTCATCTCTAATGTTTTATTTCA